CCCCAAAACCCCAAAACCCCAAAACCCCACAGAAACGAAAAAGAAGAATTTGGTGTATTAATAATAAGTTTTATAATTAAGATTTATTTTTTAAATAATTTTATCTATGAATCAGACATTCTTCTTTATACCTATTATATTGATTGTTGTCACCGCTTTTTCTTCGGTCTTTTCACTCATGAAGAACTAGTCAAAGGGTGGCAACATTGATAACTGTTGGCTTGGTTTTCTTAATTCCAATACCGATCAAATTTTTCTCTCTACTGATGAGGCCCTTTGACATAGCTTTAACCTATACCACATTTACCTTTGTTTCAATCTTTGACAGCTTCATCATGCACTAGAGCAGTTTAGCAGTATATTATAACTCCGTATTCTTTCTATAAAATTCACATCTAATTTGACTCTCTTACATACATCGTAGGACCTACCTACACTACCATGGCCTTAAATTGCCTCGCTCTGTTTATGAATGGCTTTTTATTCACGATTGTCATTTTAGCGTGTTTGCACCTATAGTCAACTCCACGCATGCCAAACTCTCCTTCAACTATGAGAATCTAAAAGGTTAGCTTGTCAAGATTTTCCAAAAGAGTGGTGAAAATATTTTCAATGACAACTGTATAGTCACAAAAACTCTTGTTGATCTCCTCACCAAGATCAATTTTGTAATTCACAAACACTGGACAAGAGACTTAAAATTTCTTAATGAAAGCTTTCTTCTCTGACGGTAGCAGCTTAACACTCTTATCCATCTGTATATCAGTAATATTCTTGACAGACTCAAATTTTGGCTCAATCATATAGTCGAACATGTTGAGCACAAGCTTACCTATTACCTTAACTTCTTTTTTTTTGCGTCAAAATTATCGGAGGTTGCAGTAAATACAAGCAAGCATTCTAATTCACAAGCTTGATAAATTCCTCTGTCATATTGAGCATGAATTTATCAGCTTCATCTATTATGAACAGCTCTCCTTTTGCAGATTTGAACTTACAGTCAGCGTGATATTGGATACAGGTCTCATCGTAATCTAAGAGATCCCAGAAATCAGCAAAGGCAGCACCGTATCTCTTCAAAAGATAGTTATTCACAAAGACCATATTCACCTTGGTACATGCTCTTCTGATAAGAGCAATATCAGCAAATGTAGCAGCTATTCTGGACTTGCCTTATCCGAGAGGTTCAACCCATAATTGTCTTGAGACTTGGAATAGCTTACCAACGAAGTACTGAGCAAAAGCACTGGCTTTAGTTAGGCTATTTCTCTAATGTGGGACTGCCATACCGAAGATGCAGTCTTAATTCATAGTCAGATCTGTCTTCAACAAGTCCTCCATGATTTCTCCATACTTATCACTCAATTCTTCAATTAATGATTGAATTGATTCAAAATCTTCTAATACTGATTTCACCTGGTTCTTGTGGATAAGAACCTTCTATTCACAGAGAGATTGCATCATAAACTCTTCCTTACGATTAGAGATGATAACATATACACTTTGCTCTTATATATCTGTAAGCAAGTTACAAATATTCATTCACACTCATCTTTTGTTACTTGGGTCTCTTCTAGACACAAGTGACTAAAAACTATGAAGCATATATCTTTAATAATAACTAGTGAACTCAGCAAGCAATGCTTAGTTATCAAGTTATACAGCAAACGATAGTACCAATAGACGGCCATCTACATTGCTGTTGTTGTCTCTGTGGTAAGATATAAGCATGATGCGTTATTCTTCAATGTGCTTTTAGTATTAGCCCAGCCAGGTAGCAATTTATTTACTGAATCATTAGCAAGGTTCAACACTAACCTTGAGGAATTAGGATTGTTTATCCTTGTCCATATTGTCTAATAGCTTGACCGAACTATTCCAGCAAGCACCAACAAGAATGAAAGAGAACATCACTATACAGATCATTCTCTATTTATTGAGTGAATCAGGGCGAGTTAGTATGATTGGCAGTAACGCAATGAGTGCTGGATGCTTATCATTGCTGATATACTCCAGAAATAAGTCTTGTGTGAACTGCTCACATATATCAAGCAAGTCTTACAGTAAGAGCATTCTGTTCTTTTTACTTGCTTCGATCTCCTTAAACTTTACTACTACTAGATTATCAGTCAGTGTAACCACATACACAAGATACCTGATGTAGCAGATTCCTTATCATTAATTACCGATCGTGTAGGAGTGCATGTGATAAAGGAACAAAGGGTTGCATTCATACGAGAACTATCTTACTACTTTTGTCTCTTAGCAAATGGAGCACTTGGCATATCAAACTCTTGTTATTATTGTTGAGGACTTGTTTCATCCTGCATATCAATATCAGCATCACCATTCTATTCAAGGTAGCTTTAAATAGAGTAATTTAACTGCTCGCTCTCTACTTCTGAAGCATGTCTCTTGCCTAGAGTGAATCGTTGTACATTAGCTTCAGCTAATGGGTTGTTGTTATTGTTAGTGTTGTTACTATTGCTGCTATTAATTAGTGTATTACTTTCAGAAGGCGGTGAATACCTATCACAGAACTTACTCACCTATAGACTCACACCCTTGACAAAGAGATAAATTCTCTTCTCTTTTATACACATGGAGCATGTTAATACTTTATGTTAACCGTGCTTAGTATCTTTAAGATATGTATAGTTTGACAAGGTGACTAGCTAGTCATTGATACCATTTGACTAGGTGACTAGACAGTCATTGGCATCAATTGACTAGGTAAACTGTTTTAATATAATACTTACCTATAGGACATATATCACATTAAGCAGTTTTACAAGCAACAAAAAAGACTGATTCTTTAGGCATACCTTTTGCTGTATGACTTTCAGCATGCCTTGGCCAGCTACTACAATCAATGAATTTCTTAGTACTACATCCTTCAACAGTACAATGTTTATTGATAGCTCCTCATTTACTCTTACTTGTGATGAATGGCATTGAAGATTCAGCAATGCTTTTCAAAACAGCGACTGTGTTCCTGGGAACTATCATTTCTTTAGGCATTATTGTTGTCATGGTTGCACTTTTGTTGGCAGTTCAACCTAAGAACCGTCATTCTTCACTTCTTTATTTTAAATAAGTGTTGGCGTTAAGCTTTAGGATACACTTTATCGTAAATTAATTTGAACTTCTGGAACCATTCAAACTGTGGTTCTCTTTTGCTGCTAATGTCCAATTAAATCAACGAATACGAATCCCGTTTCCATTTATGAAAGTCAATATTAGCGCACGTGAATCCTAGATCCTTGATAAATCCCTAGGATTCTCTAGATGCATGCAAAAATATCATTTTTACAAGAGAATCCCGACCTAAAATTAGCAGTGCTCTCTCACACACTACACAATCATCCCCATAAGTCTTGTTGCACGTCCTTGCTTCCTGTATTCCTATTGAGTGTGTATGAAGTACAAGATGCAATATTGAGTAGTCTGGAAATTTTACGAACGCTGCACTTACTATCTTGTTGTCTACCTAGTAGCTGATGAGATCGAGATCTCTGATGCTTTCTAACTTCATATTTTTGAAAGCTGTTGAAAAAACGTGGCATACTTTGTCAAAAACTCGTTCATAGGATCACAGTGTCCCTCGAGACAAAAGTAGATTCTTAGATTGAAACAAGTTGACATTTCTTATATTCTCTTATCGAATATCATGTAGTCTTACTCTCACGTAGCAAACGGGATAAATTCCTTTATGAACTGCTTGAAGATGGGATAGTGCTCTTCGACGAACTTAAACTTGTGATGTTTGATCATATTTAATAATATTGATTGAAATTAAAACAAACCTTAGTCAACTCCAATGCCACAAACTAAAGAGAAAATTGAAAAAGCTGGTGTTCCTGACTCTTTTGTACACCCAAAGGGGGACTTTTTGGCTCATCAATTTAATTTAGGACTCTTTGATACCCTCAGGCATAGGGAAAAGGACAGCTAATGCATAAGAAATGGGTGTTTTGCCAATTTATCTGGTAGTGGTTGAGTGTGGAGAGTTAGTTTTAATTTATTAGGTGGAGTTTAATGATCTTAAAGAACAAGCCAGAATAATGGTGGTCTAATTATGATTCAATCTTCAATTAAAGCCATCGGTCAATCTTAATATTGATATATGCATATTTTTCTTGTTTTTATCTATCCTTCTGTGCAAACTCTAGAAAAAAATTGTTTCCTACTTTATCGTTTTCAATTAAATTGAATTTAATTAAATCAGCCTTAACGATAAGAATTATCAAACTATAGTAAAAACAAGCCAGAGGTTCAAGAGAACCAAGTAAGAATGAGAGCTTTTTTGGTTTGTTTGACCCAAAAGTTAAATTAACAATAATTATATTAAATATAAATGTTTGCCTAGAGAGTACTTTTTATCATATTATCGTGCTATCTCTCTTTTCT